TGCCACAAATTTCAGCTTTTGCAAATGTTCGCCAGACAGCATGCAGAATGTCCAAGGCCAAAGGCATCAAGTCCAGCTCTCAACTTTTCAGGATGCAAACATCAAGCTGTTCGTGTAGTGCAAGGATCAAGCATCCAGTCGTCATCAAGTTTACACACGCAATCACACACACATACATATATTTTTTGTATATAAGTTTAACTGAGTTTGTCATGTTGCCTGACAGCCTTCACACTGAGGCCGGTTCACGAAAGATTGGGAGATATTATGCAGGCCCAACCCACCAGCCTGAACATGTTCATTGCCAGCAAGCATGGGCGTTCCACATCTGTCAACAGAGCAGTTCTCGTGATGCTGCAAGTTGTGCCGTGTCCATCCGTGTGCCTGTCTACGTCACTGGTCAGGGCCGCAAGGATGCTTGGGATCAAGCCCGGACGAAGCAAGCAGAGATGGAGATGAAAGCCAATTCCTCAGGGCTCGAGCTCAGATTCTTCGAGGGGAGTTGAAGAGTATTGGGTTTGGCCTTCTGTTCCTTCACCGCTTGCCTCAGTATTTCTTTGTGCTGCCGAGGATGTGACGATGCGCCCTGTGATCTCAGCCAGGTCAGACTGATAATCCGTGGACAACAGCAGCGGAAAAGTTGTGTACACTTTCGGTTCAGTTCAGTTCGTTAATGCTGCTTCAGCAGCCAAGAGGAAAACAGATGTGATACCATAGCAAGCCGCTGCCTCCGTTTTGTTTTACATGCGGCACATGGATGCACGTGGACCAGGCACACCACACATCTATGCTGCTCCAGCAGCGACACCATGCCTTGCTTGTTCAGCTTGATTTCAACCTCCCAACTCTCAAAATTCATTCATCACAGATGATTCTTGGGCAACAGATCTCAAAATGAGCGCACATTGAAGCAGCATGACTTGAAGAGGTTTCAGAGGATCAGCATGTGTTTTTTTGTCGCCAGCAGGGCGCAGAAGATGGAAAGGCGGTTCGAGGATCATCAGAGCCGGGACGTGCAGTGCAGTGAAACATGGGAGACCTTTAATGCAGTGGCGGTATGATGGAGCAGCTTGCACCACAAGCGCAATTGATGGATTCGTATCAAAGTGGCTTACAATTTATATAGTGTGCTTGTGTTTTCAGGTTGGAAGGAAAGGCGCGACAAACGCATTGGCCTGCTTCTTAGGAAGCGTTGGAGCTGAACCCGGGTTGGTCAAGGTTTGCAGACCAAGAAACTCTTGACATGACGTTGAGGGCAATTCTGGAAGTGCTGCCAGGAGGAAAGACCAAAGGTTGTAACACTGGTCGAAAGATTCCTTGAACAAATAAGGTTTGGTCTTTCATGCCCTTACTATTAAGGGGAGATCTCTTGCACCGCTTGTGCGAGAATAACTGCAGCCGATATCTTCCGCTCAAGCTTTAATATTCGGTGCTCTGGCCCGACCAACATGACTCAGCAACATTGAACAGGGGTGCGGGCTTTTTGTGTTTCCGGTGCGGGTGGGTCATGATTTAGAGGTGTGTGGGGTTTTTTAGTGCTTTTTCAACAGCTATAGTATAGTACTGAAATAAGGAGTAGTGATGCCCAAGACCCAAGGCTCAAGACGAGAAAGTCTTCCCACCAGCGCTGACAATTGCCCTGGCACGTTCAACAATTGCCCTGACAAGGCCTTTTTTTTCAACAGTTGCCCTGTCACTTTCAGGTGAGGAGCAGCTTGCGCAGTGCCAGAAGCAGCTGCCACGGGGCCCAACGGAAAAGTGAGTGCATGTGTGAGTTGGAAAAGCAAGTCACCTTCGAACTCTAGAATATTTATTGAAGACCGGTTCTGCCTATTCGGGGAGCATGCGGAAATTGGCGTGCCAAAGAAAGCCATGAAAGAGGAGGGAGATGTCAAGGCTTTGGAAAGATATTTGATGCTTTGCCGGACTTCTACCCTCCATGGCTTCGTCAGGGCCGAGTGCACCTTCAAGCCGCTGATCAACAAGACCTCTGACAACTTGGCCAGGAAGACGGCGGCCATCAGCTTTCGCAACGGACAACGTGAGAAACCTAGCTAGAGAAGTGTGACATGGATTCTGGACAGTCAACTAGTCCTTTGGATCAGCTTTAATTGGATGACCTTTGTTTGCTTGAATGAAGTATATAACAAATTCTTGCATATTCTGGCCTGGTATATGTACGGTGGCATGACAAGTTCTTCTTGCCAATCATTCTCAGCGACCTATTGTTGCGTCACCAGCAGAGATTCTTGAGGTCCAGGTTCAGCCGCCAGCAAGGCGGGGCGTGGGAGGACAATACAAAAGTCCTTTCAGTGAAATGCTTCACTTAGAGGTTTTCAGCCATGTTCTGAAAAATTGCTCACTCTCCACCGGAACGACTACTAGTCCGGCCAGGCTGATGCTGAGGACTCAGAGGATGAGTTGCTGGGAGAGCCCAGTCTCCTTGTGGGTCGGTTTGGTCGGTTTCTTTTTGACTTTTGATGTGAGGGTGGATGTTTGATGATGTTTGCAGATTTTTTCTGCTAGGTGTAGACCAACATAGGCTCCGGCAGTATTTTCGCGATCTCGTGCCAAGGCCCAGTGAAAGTAGTCCAGTGCCGATTGAGGAATGCACTTCTTGGGCATCTTGGACTATGTGCTTTCAGATGAGAGTGTGTGAGAGGCAAACCAGGTTTTGGTGTTCTTTTGGCATACCAGTGCCCGCTGCAAGTACGAACAAGCTTGACGACCTTAGAATCTACTACAAGTCGGCGGTTTATCCGAGTGGTTCTTGGCAGTGTTAAAGTTGAAGCTGACCAGGAGATGACTTGTGTCAGTGTAGGTCTCCTAACTAGGCTGGGGCTGGGGATAGTGGGAACCAAAGCAACAAAGCAAGGCACCTCTGGAGGCAGACAGGTCTGGTAGGTGTTGTATAGAAATGTGTGTGGTGAGCCAGTTGCTCGTACTAGTAGCTTCTTGTTCCTAGTAGTAATGCCAGGAGCTACTAGTAGCTTCTTGTAACCCCTAAATAACATCATCAAAAGCAACTTTCCCTCTCTCAGGCTTCTGCTCTTCGCTCCATTGCTTGGAGCCTAGAATCTTGACGCTCCTGTGGCGCCTTGCATATCAGCAACTTCTTGAAGAGGGATGGGGCTTGCAATGAAGGGGCGAAGAGCAAGACTGAAGTGCCGACCCTCAAACATCGTACCGCCGCAATGTGCTGGCAACTTCGCACTGGTATATCGTCTAAACCAGGACTTACGTAGATGCACTGTACCAAGTTTCATGCAACTAGTTGTTAGTTTGCCCTGGCTTAGTCGCAGCGTGAGCATGGCGTGCTAGTGCTTCATTTCGTTTAAAGTGGCTTAGGCCGGACTCAACGTCTTTGAAGATACTGAGGAAGGCCGCTTTGACTGAAAACATCTAGACGTCGACCGCCGTGCTGAATTCTCAAAGAAAGTCAAAAAACTTTCAAGTTGTGGATCAGGAGGTCCCAATCAGGAATAAAGACAGTTCTCCTTCGAGTTGTGTAGTATCACAAATGCCTAACACTGGCCCGTTCACCAACTACCTTTGACAGACCGTGCGCTTTGGGTCTATTCAAGTCGAAGGGTAGACCAAACGCAAGATGCCTGAAACTCTATTGCACTGATTTACTGACTGGTCCAAACCCTTTTGGTCCCGATCGGGCCTCGCGTTCTTCTCCAACTTCTCCGCGAAGCAAGGTTGCCGGCGGGCAGGTGCCGGTTGGGATGGGCCTAACATTGCTTAGATAGCTGTGGTTGGTGGGGCCCTACTCCTTGGATTGGTTGGTTGGTGGGACTTTGCTCACTGTCATACTCATCGTATTATATTGTAACTTGCAAAACGTTTAAATGCAGCTCCCTAAAACTTCTACTGAGAACCCCTACCACATCCTGGAAACAAACACTGCAGCCCCGTGGTTGTTTTTGCACTCCCTCCCTCAAAAGAAGTTGTTGTCTCTACCCCCGTAGGAAGAAAATTTGCAGCCCTGTTGTGTGTTTTTTCTTTTTTTTTGGAGGGGTGACCCACCAAGAACAACACCCGAAAAATCAAGAAGCGGACCAACCGAGACTCAAATGAAACAAATCCAACAAGTCCAGCTACTTACCAAACCAAACCAACATTTCCTCAAACCTTCAACGCTACCCCTTGAAGTTCCTGACTTGCAACATGTGACAACTATGTCGGGCGGCTGTTTTGCCCCCTACCACCAACAACAAGAACAAGAGCACACAAAGACACATAATACGAACACACACGTTGCAACCCTACATGTTTTTTCTTGAGGGAGCAAACTGGCAAACAAAGTGAGCCCCGGGTTTAAGAACAGCAACTTAGCCTTAGTCATAGTCATAGTTGTAGCCCTGTCATGCACAGAACAACACACCAAAAACTGCCCAAAACAGGAACTTGGAATACCAGGCCCTCCCTGACCCTTCAACCATATTATCTGTGTCCCTAGTCCCAGGCCCATTCTACCACCTGCAACAAGAGACGAAAAATATGACACGCACTCTTCACAACTTATCAGGCAGTTACGAGCGGACACCAAACAGAAAACTGATTCTGATGTCAACGGCTTGCAGCCACCCAAACAGCGGTTTGCCGTCATCATTTGTTGCCACTCAGGCGGCCAACCAACAGCGTGGCACCCAGTGCGACTTTTGTGCGAGGCGACCATTTTTCCTGAGGCTTGGGTTTTGTTTCAGCTACAGCAACCTTTTCACGCAAGCAACCTTGGCAAGGACCTACTTCTGTGGTGGTTGCAAGCCATTCAGCTCTCAAGTGGTGTTGGTTCTTGCAGTCTGGACGCGGGTTTGTCACACAGACATGAAATGCCGCGCCGGTCATTTGATCTTGTTTCAGCTGCCCTAACCAGGCTCTATGTAGGTTGCCCAGGCCCAAACACTGGGTATGCAGCTATATAATTGAAACACAGATTCGACCTCGGCGTGCCAGTGTTCCCATCACCAATGCAGGCAAATAATTTGAGGCAAACAGCGCTGTGCACAAGTGTCTTTTGGGGCCACTAGTGCCATGGTCTTTCTGCGCCGGCGCAGAGCCTGTTTCATTGCCATTTGCTTGATCTACCTGAGCTGCTTGTTTTGGCACAAGGCATCCGGCTTCACTGGAAACCCTTGCTCACCGGGCGCCCGGTGCCCACGCATTGCTTCAGCAGCCGAGCCGGAAGAGTCTGAAGAGAGTGCTGCACCAAGCCTGGATTGCATCGCGCCCGTTGGTCCTTTCTGTCCCTTTCGTTCTTCTGCTTGCGCTTTCGACAGTGAGCTGGGGAAGGGCATGACTGAATTGACTTCTTCATCTCCCGAGTTTGCGGTTGAGATGAGCCGAATGCAGCTTGACATGCGCATAGGCCGCGAGCCTGACCCTATCCGGATGCAAAAACTGGCAGATGGCCTGGAAGCATCTCACCAGAAGTGGGAAGGCCTTATGACACGTCTTCAGCTCAGCAGTGACTTCCAGAGTCGCGAGTATTTCAAGCTGGCAATGAGCCATTTGGATGGACGCACACTTGCTGACCTTGGGAAGATGGTGCAGTATCAAGTTGATTGCATGCGGGCAGTTGCTCGAGGCCTTGTGCCACCTGCACCGCCACCCGGTTTGGATATGTCACCTCCAAAAGAAGGCTTACCATCTGCAGCTGCGTCACCACCTATGATTGAGGCAGAGCCATTTGACAGCTCTGCGTTTACCAGTCAGGTCGTAAGGGAGGAGTATGATGCTCTCCGTCGAGATCACCGACAACTTATTTCAATGGGCGAAGGCTATGGGAGTTTTGATCCATTGGGCAAGCTGGCCTTCCTGGATCAAGTAGAAAGGGTTGAAGAACGGTGGGATATTTTTTTTGGACGCTTGGGATTGATTGGTGCCTTGAGTGCTGACTACAGACAGCAAAGCTCAGACTTCCTGAGCTCGATGGGTTTGTCTCCCGCTCAGTTTCGCAAGCTGCTCAAGCGAGCACACAATCAAATGCGCAAGGATGCGGAAGCTGAACGGAGCTGAGTGAGAGAATCAGCTTTGGGCTGTAGGCTGCCGAAGAATCTTGATGGCATGTTTCAACTCGTGTATAGAATGATTTTAACTCAACGTATTTCATCGTATTTCATGTTTGCGTGTGTTGTGCTTCAAAGCGGGCAATGTGGTAAAACAGCTGCATATCGTTGTTCCAGTGAGGAAGTTCCATGTACTGAAGGTTTTTGGCCGAGAGAGGTCTGAGAATAACAGGCCTTGGGAAACTTGGGCGCATTGCGGATATTGTTCTTGGCATCTCTTGGCTCAATACTTTCAATTTTCTAGCTCTCAACACAGTGACAAACCTTTATCTCAGCCTTTCTCAAGTGAACTTCACAATCTTCAATCTCTCCCTTTTGTCAAAACTTAACCTTTGAGTGGAAAACCACTTGCCCTTTGCTACCCAGCCACTCATTGCTGAGGCGCCTGTCGTGGCAGAGTTCAATCCGTGTGTTGAGAACAGCATCCCGGCTTGGTTTGCGCATGCCGCGCGTGCCTCTGAACATGTCACCGGCCCCGTTCGACAGACTTAGAATAAAGCAATAAAATTGGAACAGATTGTGAAAGATAAACAAATCTGACGGTTCAGCTAAGGACCCACCAGCGATGGTGGCTTGCGGGTTCCCCAGTTGACAATCACAGTTTATCAGCAGAGCATGGCCTAATGAAGAGATTGAACGTTCCTGGCGGTGCCCTTCTTGCAATTCACATGGTACAAGAGTCAAGCAAGTTTGTCTGCATGCCCCTCCGCTGGGAATTCTTCACATTACTTTCCTTTCTGTTACCTCTTTCTTCTGTTTGAAGTGACAGGTTTCTTTGATTCTTCACCTCCAAGTGCGCTGCGCGGTGTCACCTTAGGAGTTCAAAGACTCATGCACTAAAATCATCTCCTGGACAAAGGTGGGTTCTGGCCGTCATGTGTCAGACACGTTCTCAACAGAAGTGGTTCTGAATTCACAACATCATACGCGCAGCAAAGGGCTCCATCGATTTTGCTGAGTGTCAGGGCTGCGTCACCGAAAGCGGTTGCAAAAGTTACCACGGGAAGAGGGACTGCGCTGGCCTTATCCTGTACGTGCGTTGGCCTCCAGGGGTTCCTCATGACAAGGCGGCTCCAACAGAGAGGGAGAGAACAATGTGATGGCTCCGATAAAGGTTTTGGCGCAATGGATTGTGATCCTGATTGCCACACCATAAAAGAGAGACAAGATGAAGCTTGAACATGGACGCTCCTAGTAGCTCCTGGCATCGCTACTAGGAACCCCCCCATCGCTATTAGTAACAAGGACGCTACAAGGACGTACTCCAGAACCTTTCATAGGCACATAGTCGCCCATTACTCTCAGGTGACTTCTCGAGTTGCCGAGTCGCCATCTGCACAGCCCGGTCACCCAGATTGTGACCATAAATTGCCGCGTGCCAAATATAATATACGTTATATGGTATGGTGTGATATGTTATGTTAAGTATGTATATATGTATGTAATGTATGTATATATGTATGGAATGAATGAACGAATGCATGAATGAATGAATGACATGACATGACATGACATGATGAATGAATGAATGAATGAATGAATGCATGAATTAATGAATGAATGAATGAATGACTGAATGAAGGTGTGATTTTATGTTGTATTAGGTTAGGCTATGTATGCAATGTAATGGAATGGAATGGAATGCGATGCAATGCAATGCAATGGTGTGTGATGTAGAGTAAAGTAAAGTAGAACATATTAATGCAATGTAATGTAATGTAATGTAATGTATGTAATGTATGGTAATTCATGAATGTATGTATCAATGTATGTGTGTATGTATGTAATGAAATGTAATGTAATGGTATGTATGTATGTTATGTATGTTCTGTATGTTATGCAATGTAATGTAAAGTCAAGGTATGGTATGGTATGGTATGTATTGTATTGTGATGTATTGTTTTGTTTTGTATTGCATTGCATTGTATGTATACTGTAAATGTATGTATGTATGTATGTATCAATGTATGTATTAAATGTATGTATGTATGTATTAATGTATGTATGTATGTTATGTTATGTTATGGTATGTAATGTAATGTAATGTAAATAAAGTTAATGTTAATGTAATGCAATGCAATGCAATGTAATGTAATGTAATGGTATGTAATGTAATGTAAGGTAATGAATGTAATGTAATGTAATGTAGTGGTATGTATGTATGTAATGTATGTATGTAATGTAATAATGTAATGTAATGTAACGTGACGTGACGTGACGTGACGTGACGTAATGTAATGTAATGTAATGCAATGCAATTATGTATGTATGTATGTATGTATGTATGTAACATGTTTGTTTGTTTGTTTGTTTGTTATGTCTGTCTGTCTGTCTGTATGTATGTATGTACAGTACAGTACAGTACTGTACTGTAATGTGATGTGATGTGATGTGATGTGATGTGATGTAATGTGATTGATGTATGCATATACCTACATATAAAAATTGTTTTTAGGCCGTAAGTATTTTATGAATCAACGTAGTAAAGAGGTAAGAAGCTAGTAAGTAGCAATAGGACGCTGACAACGACTGGACGCAGGAAAGCTCACGCTTTTTCAAGGGCGGGAGGAGCTTCCTTGAAGAAGCGCTTGCACTATTCATGTGGTTCCTAGATTTTTGGAAGCATATAGGGTGCATAAGTAGCATCTCCAAAGGTGAACAGGACAATCACACAAAAAGAGTACAAGTCAGAAAGACAGCGGACGTGCTACTGAAAGCCGTCTGAAACGTTGTTCGAGACTAGAGACCCGCAACGTGCCATCGATTGGACATTGGAGGAGGTGCGATCATGTTAGCCCAAAACTGGTGGCTTTCTTTAGCTGTTCAGGTGCAAGCATTTTTGTCCAGGGTTCACTTTGGCACGGTAGATTCTGTCAGCCAAGGCGTCAGGCACCAAAGGATGAGGTGTGGCACTACAGCTTCAACGGCTGATGTTAATCGAGGTAGCTTCCGATGGGACTTGGTCTGACCTCGTCAGCGTGGTAGGCTGCTCGGAAAGGGTCAGTGGAAGCTGCGGAAGCCAGATATCGGACCTCTCAGAGCCGAGAGGCACGGCAGAAGATCAGATCAGGGCACCAGACTTCGGGGAAAGAGCCTAGTTGCAAGCTGTTGAACTGGCTGGCGGCTTGCCAGGCCTCCCCTCCGGTGTTGGCAAAGAACGACCTATCACCAAACAGCCCACCAAGGACCAGAATGATAGTCAGAAAGAGAGACGTGAAACCTGATACAAGAATGGTGTCCTGCTGCCTGGGCACCCATGTGGCGTAAATGAATGCATCATTTCTTTTTGAGGTGTGGATGGTGATATAACCCAGCTGCCTTCAGTGGGCCATTATTTTATCTTGCCAACTGCTCCTCATGTTGCAGATCTTTCTTGCACATAAGAATCAGTCCAGCCTCCGTTTGCAGGACCGACGAGGCACCCAGATCTGCAAGATTGAACAATGGTGGGGCACATGCTCCCAGATCTGAGTGGGCTGGGGCCGATACACATATATAAATATGCAACATTATACCTTAAATTTAAGGCGTGCCCACCAAGCTACCATATGGCCGTGGGGACGGTAAGATGATTAGGACGAGGCCTGTGTTGAGAATCAATTGATGCGTGGAAGCATCAATTGATGCATGTAGAAACTCAAATCGCTCAGGGAAGTTTACTTCGCATGCACGTGTCCTTTTAGCACTTTCTCAGGCAAAGCCTAAGCAACATGAGGAGGCCAAGCAGCAAGATCAAGAGAGTTTTGTTTGTGTGCGGCAATGCATTTTACAAGGACCCTCCTGCCAGCAGCAAAGAATTAAGACACATATTCGGGGTGAAATGCACCAAGCCGGCATTTCAAGAGGACTTTGAGGACAAGCTTCATTTTGCGTCCCCGCTTTTGAGCCTGATTGGATCACCTGAACAGGGGAAGCCGCAGTGGCGTCCTCCCGGCAATGCGAAGGTGAATGAGGGCAGAGCAACTAGACTCGGTTGTCAGTTACCTAATCCAGAGTACATGCTTGCACTCATGTTTGACACAGTGTTTTCTGGATCCAATCAACCGGTGTCATTTCGTCCAGATCAATTATAACTAATAGGCCTTATTGCTTGTTCCGAGACTGGAATGCCGGCTGAGAGGGGTGAAGCACTATGCATTGTGCAGATGTACAAGTTTACATGGCAAACAACCGAATGCACATCCATGAGGCAAACAAAGGCAAATTCACCTCCATAATTGGACATCTTCAGGAAAGGTGGTGATGTCTTCTTTCATTTTGAAGCCGTTGGTGACTTGCGGTGGCCTTGGCAGGTGAAGTCCACAAGTTCAACGCGGTTAACGAACTCCCAGAGCTCGACAGAGACTCACAACGCTCATATCATACCCTACTGCTGCTCAGCTGCAGACGCCTGTAGTCAGCTCTAGATAGGATAGGCCAAGCAGTTTGCAGCGTTGTCAATGCAAGCTTGATTCGATCACTTTGCAAGTGCATTGATGTCAAATTTGCCCGAGAAACCTTTGAGTCGTCTTAGGCTCAGAGTTTGAGGATGTTTTTCACTTCACGGCACAGCTTTGTCGATGAGGCAGGCTTTGCAAAACGTTTTTCTTGCTGCGCGGGCGGTCCTGTTGCCCAGGCATTGGACAATCCAGCTCATATCCTGAACGACTAGCAGTCTTGAAGTGCTCAAGAGGAGCCTTAAAGTAGATATGTTTGGAACCTTGTGCGCCCGTTCCATTGAGTTTTGGAAATGCCAGCTTGTTTGCTTCAAACTGGAATCGCGCACTTTCCACATGTCTGCTGTTGGTGAGACTTTTGCTGTGGACCTGCTTGAGGCAGGCGGAGAGCTACTCACCTAAAACACCCAGATGAACTTTTCGCAGCTTCATGGGAGCCTTTTTTAGGCACATGGTCAGCAACTCCACCAATGAGTAAAACATCTCAAAGACGTCCTCGTCCCTTAGCCCGGCTGGCTGGTGCGGACTTTGGTCCGAAGACGATCCAGAGATAGATAGATCGATTGATCGATAGATAATTCGATAGATACTACATTGTTCACTGCAGTCCACGGGCTAGGCAAGATAGGCAAGTCAGTGACAGATCTGGGGTGTATTTGGCAAGTTTTAGTTTCTCACCATCTCCTGCGCACCATTTGTTGAAAGTTTGCTGGGCATGGCCCAGATCAGAGCTTTCACGGCTGGTGTGCCAGGATGTACCACTTGCCTCGTAATTTCAGCACTTGCTGAGGGTAAAGTGCCGGTCGCCTTTGACTCATACCAGGACAGCAGACTCAAAGTGTTTGTGTTCATGCGTCTTGTCGATACAATGCCTGAATCATTGACCGGTATGGTCTCAGGTGATGCCACTTTGGTCTCAAAGCTCTGAGTTGTGCTTGAGGTTTGCAAAAAGAGGAGCTGCTCAGTGTACGATGTCGCGCGTAGGATTGCCCGGATGGTTCTGAGGCACATTGTACCGGTACCACTATTATGTGTCGCAGCTGCCACACCAGTCACCTTTGTGTCGCTGGCGTTGACGGGTAGACGGTAGAGAGTTGCATCAGTTGAGCCCTAGAAGTTCTCAGCATGATGGAGCAACAGGGAGTCTTCAAATAAGTGCTTGCTGTGTGCTGAGATGCTCACACAGTGTCACATATGATCTACTGTAATTGTACCGATAGTAAGACATCTACATGTTTGTGTGCATGTTAATGCGCACTAATGCTCATGCAGCGCACATTTGCACATGCCCGTACCAGGACAATGACTCCTAATGCGAATCTTTTGGCTCAGCCATCCTTTTGGGGCCTATAGGAAGACGTCACCCGTGACCAGAAGCCGCGAAGATGGTGCCATTGCAGCGACCTTTGAGGATCGGGACCGACTGCTCAGGCATGGAAACGCCGATCATGGTGCTCAAGCACCTCAAGGTCGCGCACGTGCATGTCTTCTCGTCTGACATCGACAAGAATGTGAAGAAGCAAATTGAACAAAACTGGGGGCCTGAGGTGTTCCTCAGCGCAGCACTTTGTCTCTCTCTCTCTCTCTCTCTCTTGTTTGTTTTCCCTCTCGCGTGTTTAGCACGTGCCGATAAGGAGGGAGAGGGAGACAATGTGCCAAACGCGATGCCACCTAGGTTCTACGACGATCTGATGGCTCGCGACAACGACGCAGCGCCACCTTGCGATCTATATATTGCGGGCTTCCCCTGCCAATCCTTTTCTTCGGCTGGACACTTGTTGCTTTGGCATAGGTTCTTCAATTTTCTTCCAGAGGTGTTTGCCAGGACCACAATTTTGACTCGCATCTGAGGAAAGCAGAGAGGCTTCAAGGACAAACGTGGAGAAGTCTTCTTTGGATGCGCTGAATACATCGAAGCGCAGAAGCCACGGGCCTTCATCTTGGAGAATGTCAGAGCAATCCTGACGAACGATCGTGGTCGGACATGGGCAACTGGGTTTTAGATATCAGGATATTCAACAGGCTTCCGGAGTCCTGGAGATTTCTTATTTGGATGTCATTCGAGTGAGTCAGACTGATTCATTGATGCCAGTTGTGATCCAGAATCAGGCAACAGTGATGCGCACGCTCAACAACATCGATGATGGTGCCTACCACGTGGAATACAAGATCCTGGACACCCAGGAGCATGCTGTTCCCCAGAGCCGCCGCAGGGTGTACATCATCGGTATTTTGAAGGCTGGCTTTGGTGCCTTGTTTAGTTTCAGCTTTTGCACTTTGCTGTGGGACTGCGAAGTGAAAGACGGTTTTTGAACGTTTCGCACCCACTTCGCCAGAAATAGTCCTGAATGCAATGTATTCAGTTCAGGTCCGGGTACTTCCTGCGATCGACGCACCTTCGTTGGCTAAGCCTTTGGACAATTCTTCAACCAATCATATTCACAGGTTCGTGATAGCCTTGACACTCTTAATCTACCCTCGCCATTTTAAACCTCCGCCCCAGCCTCTGCCCCAGAAAAGGGGCTTCACTGGTCGTTTCGATGCAGACGGCGCTCCCCGCGAAATTCTTGAGCTTCCCGTGGCCAGAGTCATTGCCATTGCTCTCCGTTGAGCCATTGTTGGAGCCGGTCACCAAGAAGCCGACAATGAAGGAGCATGTTGCAGTTTTGTAATTTCTTGTTGCTAGTAGCTTGTTTGCTCCTAGTAGCGTCCTTAGGAGCATGTTGCAGTTTTATAAGTTTCAGGGGCTCTTCCTATTGCGTTCCATGCCATGCTGCAGTAGCTTTTGACCTAAGACCTACGGGAACTAATGTAACTAGTGGCAAGTCATTGTAGATTGTTGTGCTGTTGCATGTCGGTTGCAAGAGGATCTCCCACATAAGAACTACAAGACTGGCTACAACAACGCGAGGGAGGTACTGAAGGACTTGCAAAAGAACAAGCAGGACAGCTTCATTTCAGAATGTCTACTAGGCTCATGACCTTCTATGTGATTTGGTCTGAGTTTTGGACACACAGTACAGTACTGTAGCTAGCAGGTGCCAGCAGCTACCAGCTGCCGAAAGCCATTGCACACGGCCAACCTCCCTGTGATGCCAGGATCCGTTTCAAAACACCTTCCTGATCGACATTGACGCAAGCGAGCGATTTAGAAACAAAATGAAGGATCGTGTGATGTGCATGACGAAGTCACGCCCAAGTGGGCGACTTGTCGCGATTGTGCTGACACAAACACACTAAAACATACTAAAACACTAAAGCCGTGATGGCGGAGCTTCCAGGATCAAATCGCATATCTCATCATGCTTCTTCATGCTTTGATTCATGGTTTAATAACATTGACATGCTGCTTTGATTCATGACCGAGAACTTTCTTTGTACGCGTTGAAGCCTAGGTATTGGATCTCCTCGCGCGGTCGTCGTATGACAATCACGGAGATGCTGAAGTGCCAGGGAATGGACCCAGGGTCATTTGAACAGGTGGCAGTTTCCTTTGTTGCTGAAGTGTGGCCGTAGTATTGTCACCCGTGATTTGAAAAGCTACCTGGTTGAGTAGCTGACTTACTGTGATATATTATATAGGTGACATCAAGTGACAAGTGCTCGGCAACAGGTGGTGCCTGACAAGGTGCTTGGGGCCCAAATCGGGAACGCCATGTCGCAGAACGTGCTGGAGCCTTGCCTATCAAATATCCAACATGGCACTGAATGAACTAAAAGTAGCATCCAATCATGTGCCTTGGATGGAATCAAGCATCAAACATCTCTCGGGAATGCATTCCGAAACAGTTCACCGGTTTCAGCCCTCTGCAGGAACGCCTCTTCATCAATCTCTTGCCGTTGGCGGGTCTTGTGCCCCGCAAAACGGTTCTCGAAGACCGCTGGGCTCTACGTGCCGCCGATCCAGATTGGCCCAGGAGCAGCGCCGAAGTGAAAGCCACCACAGGGTGCAAGGCAGTCGCATCGCGTTGCTGTTGGTTCTTTGGCTGTTCTTGTTCATGTATTCCCTGGCCAGCTACTAGCCAATTGAATGATTGACACAATGTGGTTGATGACTCCCCCTAACCATGAGGACCTTTGTTGGCATTCTCTGGTGATAATGTTGCTGTTGCTGTTACAAGCAAAAACAGCCGCCCAACAGAGATGTAACATGTTGTACAGTAACTCTGGAACTTCCAGGGGACAAGGTTAGAGATACTGTCGAAGGATTCGTGGTGGCGAGCTCCCCGGGCTGACCGTCTTCAATGAATCGGATAGATCTGCCCTTGCCACCCTCCGTCTTGGCAATATAAAAGGCCGGCTTCTTGCCCACCATGAGCGTTGCAAGTTCATGGCACCACCGCGGTAAGTAAAGCACTCGCATCTCCAGTTGGACCTCTCTGAACACCCGATCGAATGATCGAGAACAGTGTATCGGTATGCTGCAAAGCGCCGGGTTCATGTGGAAGATCGTGGAAGGTTGTACTGTGCAAGAACTTGTGGCACAGAACGCAACCTAGATGGAAACACAACCACGGTAAATTGCTGTTCCTGCAAGCCTGCAATTGGTTTTTTGTCATGCCTGCATCAAGCAAACGCCCAATCTGCTTACTGTAGCAGGGGTCCCACATCATCTTCCCTCCCCCTCCCCTCATTGAAACCCTATGTTTTCCTTTGACTTTCTTGGTTCCCCCATCCAGTATCCGTTCCTTGCCATTTCATGCACCATCCTTCACTTATCCTTTTTTTTGGGGTTTGCCTTCTACAACATCACCTGGACCGTTTCCAATCTTTTGAATTCTCTCTTTTGGAACATGCTCGTACTTGAGACATGCATGCGCTTAGCAAATGTTGCATGTTGGAAATCTCTGCGCAACAAGGCAGTGGTAAGCATACGATCTGCTTGATTTCTACTGTGGGGACTGTTTTTGCTTACGGCCTGTCTCTGACTATGACCATTCAAACCGATTCCAATCGAACCGAAACCTCACTGTATCCAAACATCTACCACATCCTAGAAACCATGCTGTTGTTTTTGGAACCCCCCTCCAGAACAACATGTCCAAAAACACTACAAACGATTACAAACGGACCGACCCAGACTTTAGTGAAACAAGTTCTACAAGTCCAGCTACTTACGAAACCAACATTCCCTGCGCCCACAAAAATGGATTTTCCATTGATCGTTGTGCCAGCCGAGGCCAGGCGACCAAACCGTTTTCCATGGCGCAGCCAAATTTGTGGGCAGTCAGATTCCCAATCTGCTTACGGCAGTAGCATTATGGAAGGCTATATAAGGAGTTATAAGATCTTCCAGGAAGCTTATATAAGATGATTGGAATGGAAATTTAAGATCGGGTGAAATCGGATGCACACATTGAATTTTGAGGATAATTAGGAGGATGAGCAAATTTAGGACACTGCATAAGCAGCACTGCTCATTACCAGCATCATGGTAATCAAGTTATCTCACGGGGAATTTATGGGTGCTTTACAGAAAGAGAATGCGGGAAGCTCTCTTGCCGTCCCACGCTCGTAATCTCTGATTGTCATTTCTACTTGTTTTATGGTTTTTCTAAAGCGTTGATGTATCTTCTGGTGATTCCATGGGGCTCTACTAAACCTACTAAGCAGGTCCCTTCTACGTGCCCGGACATCCACGTATATACTTGTATCTGCCTATTACATTCCCTTTTTTTCTCCCAATGTCCTTAAACATGCACTTCAATGCACAAAGTTTGGGGGTAGGCGCTGCCATAAGCAGATAAGTATCTGCTTACACAGCGCCATTGACCATAATTGAAACTTCGAACCGGTTTGGTTGTAGAAGTATCTTTTCGTAGACTTTCGGTTTGGTTCACGGTTCGTTTCGGTTCTGTGAGGCATAGTAAAGAAAAGAAAGGAAAAGATGAACAGACAAGACAAGACTATGGACAAGACAGGACAGGACAGGAGAAAAGGGAACCCAGAACAAAAGGAAAGAAAAGGAAGGGAAAGCAATGAAAATGACAAGAAAAGGGGGAATGAATGCAATTTGTGAATATGCTTTTTTCCAGGCCTTCCAAAAAACATATTGGAAAGGAAAGCAGAGAAAAGGACAGTAGAAGGACAAGGAATGGAAAGCAAAGCAAGGACAAGGAAAAAAGGAAAGGAAAGGACAAGGAAGGAAAAGCAAAGGAAAGAAAAAGGAAAGTGGACATGGAAGGGAAGGTATGCATTTTGTGAAATTTTGTGAATATGCTTTTCCCAGGTAGTCTAAAATCGCATATTGGAAAGGAAAGCGCAGAAAAGGAAGGGAAAGGAATGGACAGCAGTTTGTGAATGCGCCTGAAGCCGGGCCGCGCCAGTGACATGCTGTATGGGCATCCCACTGGGGGACTGCTGCTCTGAAACTCCAAGACCTTGAGCAGTCTGAGAAAAACGTCACAAAGCGCTTCGCGGGTTCGTTTTTCTGTTCGGTTTGGTTGTGTTTGGAAAATTGATGGATGTTTACATTCTGTTCATGACAAAATCGGTCCTTGACACTTGCCAACTTTCGGTTCCGAAAGTTCGGTTCCGAGTCGATAGATAGATAGATCGATATAGATAGATCGATAGATAGACAGACAGACAAACCGATATATAGATGGATAGATAGATAGATAGGTAGATAGTCATGTGGTAGTGGTGGTAGTAGTAGTTAGTAGCAGTAGCAGTAGCAGCAGTAGGAGTAGTAGTAGTAGTAGTATAGTAGTAGTAGTAGTAGTAGTAGTAGTAGTAGTAGTAGTCGTAGTCGTAGTCGTAGTCGTAGTCGTAGTAGTAGTAACAGTAGTAGGAGTAGTAGTAACAGTAGTAGGAGTAGTGGTTAAGATACGACGTAACGGCACTCCTCTAGAGTACTCACCACCACTACTTCTGCTACTGCTACTGCTGCTCCACCTCCTCCTCCGCCTGCTACTAGTACTACTACTACTCCTCCTGCTGCTGCTGCTGCTACTGCTGTTGACGACAACGACGACCACTACCAGTACTAACAGCAGGACTATTACAAAAGAAGAAGATGTGTGTCGACAGGGCTGCGGTTTTTGTTTGTACATTGTTGTTGTATCCCCCGCGGGTGATGCCCTATAAAATGCAGATCATTTGACCTCTATAAAATGGGTTTTAGACCCTCATTTTATAGTGAATGCTGTGGGGCACCACTCACGGGGATGTTTTGACACCATTTTATACAAGACATGGTGTGGAGACTGTGGAAGTCTGGATCTGGAATGGCATATTCCAGAAAACCATTTTATAGACAAAGGAATGGGGGGGGGGTCTAAATTCATGGTCTTGGCATTGTGGAAGTGGAATTTCATTTTATAGTGATGTTCTTGTTTCATGCACACTCGTACAATGAATCTGAATATGCATTTTATACCCTATTTAGTTTTGGCCGCTGATTATGCATGAATGAAACGGTCATGCATTCTATAGCAAATGTGGCTCGCGACTCTGGCAATTTGTTTGCTCGTAGAGCCAAAGAGGCAAGAACCATTTGGGTCAAAATGGCTCAACCAAAGAAGAAAGAAGAGAAGAGAAATATAGAGAAATATTTCATGTCACAGACATTCACTGGTAGAGTGAGGCCAGGATTAGGTATTACATGCCAGGATTAGGTATTACATCTGAATAGGACTCCGCGACCATCGGCAAGCATGTGGCAAATCGAAGGAAAAGAACGAATCACTGAGCTAGACAAGGTGGACATCTACTGGCATTGGGTCGCCGGTGAGAAGACCGAGAAGTTCAACAGTTTCAAGAAAGCAAAAGGAGACCGTGCTTGCCGGAAACCAGTTTGTAAATTCTCATGTGTGCGGTCAGGTCCCCCTCTTTCTATGGACCAGATTTCCTTTGATTTGGAAATGATGGGGAGGATTTGCCGAGACGAAGAAAGTTCAGATACCTCCTGACTCCACAGCTGCCAGAAAACTGTGGAAGGAAGCAGGCCAAATATTCATTATCCGTTGATGTCAAACAGGATCAAACAGGCTTTCGTTGGCTTCCTTTCATTTGGCAGATATTTGTCTGAGGTTTATTTTTGGGTAGAGCTCGGTTAAATTCACGCTCCAGGCAAGCCGATTGCTCGCGTGAATGTCCCAGAGCCAGAAACAAAAGGCAAGAAATATCAAGAAATGCTTATTTAAAAACACATTATGTAACGCAGCTAGCATGAGAGAAGCAAGTTTTACTCCTGGACTGCAGATCCAGACGTGCCGCCGGAGAATGCTGCGACAGAGCCAATCCCGGGCATGACATTGAATTGCGCAGGTGCTTGTTGATGAGAAACATTGTAAACATATGTTAACATAGACATATGTTAACATAGCATCTATAAAATGGATTGCCTACTGGAGGAGCATAGTGGCATTTGAGTCAAGCCTTTGCTGTGCAATGTAACTCATTTTATAGAGACTGACTCTCTCATCCTTTGTTGTGGAGGTCCTTCCACTGTGAATGGCACAGTGCAGAAAGAGCCTCCTGCGCCTGAAGCTCCTGAATACACAGGCTACTGACATTGCAGTACCACTTCACTATAAAATGGTGTTCCTGCCAGTTTACTGTGTCTAAGGTGAAGACAACAAACATCTAGCTGGTTTAGGTCATTTTATAGAGACTTCATAAAGACGTTTGAATGTGTTTTATTTTTTAAAGATCAATCAACTTCCTTTGAAGGCTATGCTACGGAGCCTGATGCGGTGCAGACAGAAGATCCTATGTCAGAGCCCAAAGTTGAAGCAGGTGAGGAACTTGTTGGAGCAGAGTTTTGTGGCAAGAAGATCTAGTAGGATCACAAGTAAATACATGCAAATGATTTACAGAAGAAAGTCTTAAGGTGTCCTTCCTGCATCTTCCTGCGTTTGCTAGGAGCGGAGATCGTCACCAGGACGGAAGAGGGGATGCCGTCGGAAGGTGTGGGAACCATCCACAGTAAGCGATGTCTCTGATCAAGG